ACACCCTCCTCCCCTTTACCATAATCTAGAACAGAAAATCCCAGCACACGGTTGGTGAATATCAATTAAGGGCGCTTGTGTACACGGCCCCCAGGTTTACGCGATTGACAGCGACATGAGCCAGCGTCCGCAATCGGGGCGACGGGAAGGTCCTCAAGGTGCCCTCGGGGTCTTATCGCCAGATCCTATGCACGTGGCCGTCGGGTCGCAAGACAGTACAGTGCTTCCCACGCATAATGAACAATTCCGTAAACGACACTATGGTTTGTTTCGCATCGATACCGCGGGAGAAAGCGGCCGAACTGGTATTCACCCCGTTCACTTCCTACGGGTCTGTTTGCGAAGCACGTGTACCTTGTCCATGCTGGTCAACGTGCTCTGGCCATTTGTCCCAGCTGCTATCGTCATCCATTTTGCACGGCCAGACCTACATGTGTGGGTGTTCGCCCTCAACTACATAGCTATGGTACCCTCCGCTAATCTGCTCGGGTTTGCGGGGGGGGAGCTTGCGAAGAAGCTACCCAAAGTGTTTGGCGTCCTCCTGGAGACAACACTAAGCTCTGTGGTGGAACTTGTTCTCTTCATGGTTCTGATTCACAACGATAGAAACGGCGACCTCATCCCAGTCATCCAGGCTGCGATTCTGGGTTCTGTGCTGGCAAATCTCTTACTCTGCTTGGGTCTTTGTTTCTTTTTTGGTGGTATTACGCGGGAGGAGCAGTCATTTCATGAAGCTGTGAGTGAAGTAGGTTCCGGGCTGTTGCTGGTAGCAGGCTTTGGTCTGTTGATTCCCAGTGCCTTCTATTCTGCTTTGAGTAGCAGTTCAACACATACACAGATTACACCAGCACAACTGAACCAGTCTACTTTGATCATCAGTCGAGCCACCGCAGTGATCCTCCTCGTCGCGTTCCTGATGTAGGTGGATGTCTGCAATAACACTTATGTCTATAGCATCCTGCTAACCGGTTAAGGTATCTATTCTACAATCTCCATAGTCACCACAGCATTTTTGACGAAGTCCTCGAATTCGACGAGCATCAGGATGAGGACAGGGAAAAGGAGATGAAGCGTGCAAAGCTCACTCTAGTTGAATGCTTTATCGCTATTGCAGTATCCCTCGCTTGTGTCTGCATGTCAGCAGTCTTCTTGGTAGAAGAAATCGAGCATATTGTCGATCGAGGGGTGTCCGACAATTTTGTTGGCCTTATCCTTGTGCCTTTGGTCGAAAAGGCGGCAGAGCATTTAACTGCAATTGATGAAGCCTGGTAAGTGGATCTTTTGGATGGCCCCCGACCACCAACTGCAGAAGCTTTTCGTTTGCCGGCCTCTGCTGACTGTCTATTTAGGGACAATCAGATCAATTTCGCTCTCTTCCACTGCCTCGGGCCATCTATTCAGACGGCTTTGCTGAATGCGCCTTTGGCAGTGATTGTTGGGTGGGGTCTAGGGAAAGACTTGGGCCTGAACTTCGAGATCTTCATGATTGTTCTGGTAGTGTTATCTATTCTGGTTGTCGGCAATTTTCTCCGTGATGGTAAATCAAATTACCTTGAAGGGGGTCTGTGTGTTTTGGTATACGTGATTATAGCCGTGAGCACATGGTATTACCCTCAGATTGAGCCGCAAGGTGGGTCAGATGCATGATTGGTGTAGCTATTGAGAGGGCGTTTCGTGCTATGTCCATAGCGGATGTGAAGGTCGATTGTAGCAGACCTTCTTAGACATCAACTTTGTGCAAATAAATTCTTTACTAGACGGTATCTCTTGAGAGGAAAGTTATATTTAGGTTTAATTTTCAGCAACGGTATTGAATTTCGTTCTGGTTTTGGTTTCTTCGCCTGGCTTACATGCAGCCACTTCTTTTCCAGCAGGTAGTATGTTGTATTTCGGATTGTGGGGAACAATAGGGGTTTGCTTGGCCCTTTTTCGACCCTCAAAATGATGTGCCGAGGCTTGCCAATGTTGACCGATGCTTCCTATTTCTAGCCCGTGTGCGGCTGATTTGCAGAGCCAACGTACCGATGTTCGACCCAGTCAATCCAATGGAGTCAACACATCTTATCATCAATACTTTCAAGGAGCGCAATATCCCGATTGATCGAAACAAGTTCTTGTCAGTCTTCAGTAATGCGGGAGGCGCTGCAGCTCATGCCAAGTGGGCGACGGAACATATCACCAGCGACTTACTATTGTCACAAGAAGAGCTTACATTGTACCCACCACGCCCTGCGTACATGACCAAAAGCCACCTTTGATTAACTGACTCCTGCTTCTTCTTGAGCCTGTAGATATTCTACTCTCGAGAAATCGAGTACCCTGAGCAAACACCTCAACAATCGAAGTACGCGCGCAACTCGGCCGTTTCTCGAAGAAGAACTTCAGCAAGCGATCGATTCACTCAACGCTTCTACGACCGCAATCCTACGGCAGGAGGATATCTTCTCTTCACAATGCGAAGTTTTGAACAGACAGCTTCATGAAAAGGAAAAAAGAGAGCTCGGGCTCAAGAGGGTTGCAGAAAGATTGCGTTCGAAGACTCTATCCGGGAGGCAGACTGCTACAGCCGTAGTGAGTTAATTGTGGGGTGAACCGAAATCCGGAGCTAGTTGCTTATAGTCTGTTCAGTTTCTTGAAACCTCTCTTGAACTGGAACTTGACGTCAAATCGGAACTGGAGAAGGTAGCAACGGAAGGGAAAAGATTACTCTCTTCACTGACTACTCGATTGAAGGACGATGACAAAACCCTCACACACCTTGAAAGAGCTGCTCACGGGACTGAGTATGTTCGGAATGATGCTTCTATCTCCAGGCAGGCTACGGATCTGGGTGTACATCATGCTCAGTATATCGCTGGAGAGATACAGCACCGTCTTGATCGCCTATACTTGGAAATTGTACAGAAGGTTCATGTGGTGATGCAGAATGAGACAACACGGGAAGAGTTCGATATATCAGAAGCTCTAGAAGAAGAGCTGGAGTCATTGTACTCTGAGATTGGCATCCTCGCAGAATTGTCTACTAGACAGCAACTTGTCGATCCCATACATCGCGAAATCCAATCACATCACGGTGCGCTATGTGCTTTCTCGAATCAGAAACTGCACCTTGTAGGTCACTCGTCGAAAAATTGGGCGCAACTGCTGACTATCTTTGCAGCTCGGAGGCATTCTTTCGCAGATGGTATTGACTACGAGAGACTGTACTAGGAAATTACAGGAGCAGGACTCGTCTTGCGGGACACTTGAAGCCTTTACTGCTGCATATAAGGCTGAAATAGGCGAGCTGCTTCTGGCCTCATCTGCTCCAAAGCGGAGGACATCGACGACCCAAGTCGCACGGGCAGCGTCTCTACATACTCCTTCGGGAAGCCATTGTGTCCCGCTCTTCGAGATCCAAGCTCTCGCAGGTTTGAAACGCAGAGTGGGTTTAACCCTGGACAACTTATCATGTGGAGCAAGAGGTGGGCCCTTGAAATTTATGCAGGAAAAGAGACGCAATCTGGTAGAGTCTTCAGAAGGTTATGGCTTGGCTGCAGATTCGCCATTGAAAGCGGCCTTGTTTCCTACCGATTCGGCAATCCATTTTCTTCTGCCTGGTCTACCAACCAGTTCGAGTTCCAAGGCGTCACTTTCCAATACTGACCATAAGCTCCTGCTCTCTGAACTTGAAGCTGAACTAGAACTTATTCAGGAAAGGGTGAAGAGACTGAAGCCTGGCTTGCTTTCTAGACGCGATTCATGCCTGGAAAACTTCTTAAAGAGATGGGACGGACAGGTATCTCATGTCTAAGACATGATTCTGGTACAAAATATGATAAGGAACTTTGTTCTTGCATATGTACAAGTCTTGGTGAACTGTCTATGAGCGGGTCAAGCTCCAGATTAGTATGAAGACTAGTGTTGCTCTCGTGGCTCTCGTCATAATCCCTAAGCTCGACAATTGATGAGCGAAATAGAATGAGAACCTGAAGGATTCAAGATTGTTTGCATTGCAGAGAACGTATGACTGTCAATCTACCCAGTATGCTCTTTCTGCGAGTCCCGAGCAATTTGGGGTTAACTACTTAGTAGATGCCATCCCTGCGAGATGTTCGGCAGCCAAAGTGGAAGGGGGGTTGGGTGCACGAAACCGGACGAACTAATGTCCGGTCCATTCTCATATTGAGCAAGTCTGCCAGATTCAGCATTTGTTTATGTTTTGGATGGATTGCCGTGCAAAAAGGACGCTTGACCGTACATTTTACTCGGCTTCTATCTGGTCTTTCAAGCTGTCGTTGACTATTCCATTTACATGCAGGTTTCGTGAAACGGCTCTTCCACCAAAATCAATCAGAAGTTGACCGAGGCGTCGACTGCGCCTGCAGCAGTTAGCATATGTTCCTCAACGTTGCAACTGACTGAAGGACTCGCCTTCTCCTTTACACAATCCCATCATACCTCTCTTGCTTCCAGACATAATCTATACTTGGGTCAACAATCATTTGATGTGGTTCGACTAGTATATTTATTCGCTGGACTCAGTCATACCATGCCATCCCTATCTGAGAGGTTTATCTTCGCCTGTAGGTTCAAGGCCGCTCTACATACTACCACGCTTGTTTCTGCATTTCCATGCAGCACTTCACAATGAATCATCCAAAAGGTGAATGTGAAGGGCTTCAAAGTCTACCTGCTATTACAACCTTAGCAGAGATCTCCGATCGGTGTGGTCTACATGCTGGCACTGGGCACGACTCGAAGGCTTGGCTTGCAGCCGATGTTTTCCGAATCTCTCCGAGCACTGCACTGAGATTATTGTGCTCTAGCATCGAAATCCTCTTAAAATCATCCTCGGAAGATCCACAATGTTCTCAGATACTCGCCGCATCTCCCGGTGTTCGGACACCCGGTGACAACATCTCTAGTGGCGAATCCACGCCCATTAGAGCTTCCGAATTGCATTGCTTTCCAGCTAATGATGGAAAATTGGGGCACGACCTTGTTCAACAGAGCGTGCTATCCAAGAGATTTCTTTCGAAGCGGGTGCCACCAATCACTCTGAGAGATTACCTACTACGGCTTCACCAATATTGCCCCATGTCCACGGGCGTTTATCTGGCTACGAGCATGTATATCACCAGAATGGTTAATACTGAGAAAGTGATGCAAGTCAATGGAAGGAATATGCACCGTCTAGTTCTTGCGGGGCTTCGAGTTGCAATGAAAACTCTGGAAGACCTAAGTTATCCACATAGTCGGGTTGCTAAGGTTGGCGGAGTGTCCGAACGTGAGCTGTCGAAACTCGAAGTCAGTTTCTGTTTTTTGGCAGATTTCGATCTACGGGTTGATGCGCATATGTTATCCGAGCAGGCAAGGCTACTTCAAGCCGGGTTGGATCTTACTGGCGACAATTCCCCCGAAGCAGTTGAGGGCTTCTCATGCCAAGAGTGAGGGCATGTTGACTGCTCTCCTTGTTATGACTTACGCTGTGCTTGTCATGAAGGAACGACGTACGTTTGCTCACCATCCCGGAGGATCATTTTGCATTTTTTTTTTTGAATTGATACCCAGCGATGGCTCATGATATTGCTTGCTTGGTAACCAATTTCCACCGACTGTTGGGTGACGACCTTCGATGGTAAAGCTCAGTGGGTATGAATAGTTGATTCAATTGAGGGCGATGGCATGGGGAAAACTACAAAAATTTATTTTGTTCGCAACCTTGAATGCGGCTGCCTAGCCTGACCACAATTCAATTGACTGGTTGGCTAACTGTTTAGTCACTTAGTCGATTAGGTAGTTAACTAGTGATATGCCTACCTAAGTCAAAACTGAGGACGGAAGGCAGGGAATGTTGGATGGCAACATCGTCTAAATGCTATTTGCATACGACAATATATTACTTGGATTTTTATTGTCTCGATAGATTAGTGTGGAAGCATTGATTCAGAATTTGCCTAATGTCGAGAGATTCACCATGTTCAACAACAGTGGAGTGGAGGTAACTCTCAATGCTATCCGACCATTTAGAACCATATTATTAATGAGTGGCTGAGTATTATCATCCCCCCACAGATGGCATGGCCCCAGGCCCCCAGGCAGCTGGTCAGCCCAGCCCCCAGCCCGACCGCGAGCGCATCTTCCACCGTTCTTCGACTCCGCCATACAACAAACAGAGGTGTTCTTTCCGGGCCCCGTTCGTCCCGGTCGCTTTTTTCTCCATTATAATCTTTTGATATTCTTCCTGCATTATCATCGCCTTCAGAGACAGCCATTGCGATTTGAAAGGCACGTTTGTGTTGTTGACCTCTTCTTTTTTCAATAAATCATCTGTTACTGGATCTCCGCTATGCTTCGTTAGATGTGTCGAGAATACTTTCCCAGCTAGTCAATCTCCAGAAACGACTTAACCCTCTCCGTTCCGCAAACTGTCCCGCCATTCTCTTTCTTCTTCCGCCGTAATTCAAGGGATATATTACTTCGTCTTGCAACCGCAGAAACTGTGTTACATTCGAAATGTCGTCAGGGGCTTCCTCAACTGGACCGCAGAATCACCGCGACTCTGTGGGACTGGGCAGTCCACCGTCCTTGCCCAGCGGCAAGAGCAGTACCTCCCCTCCAAAAGTGGTTCAGCATGAGGCGACCGTCGAACTCCAGAGCATGAAGACAGAGCGGAGCAATATAAAGGGTGCGATTCGACTCGGCGAAGACATTATGCAGATCGCTCGCATCGGAGAGATCTCAGTCATGCAGAAACTATTTGATGAGAAAAAATTCACAGCTGAATACAAGGATGAGGAAGGAATTACCCCATTACATGTATGTTCTATATGGCTCTACAATGTGTTCCAAATCCCACGTCGCGCAGTTCCTACTACCTAATCCTCATTGCGTCATAATTTGCTGACCGACATTGTGTCTTTTCACTTCAGTGGGCTGCTATCAACAATCAATATGCTATGTGCAAATTCCTTCTCGATTCTGGTGCCGATGTCAATGCCAAGGGGGGAGAATCGGTAGCTACTCCGGCTATGTGGGCAGCGCAACGTTGCCACTATTATATAGTACACCTCTTACTACAGCATGGCGCAGATCCTCTTCTTACCGATGTCCAAGGCTACAATATTCTACATCTTGCCACGATCGATGGAAACGCATTCCTGCTTGTGCTTCTTCTACACCAAGAAATACCGGTGGATGTTCCCGACCAACAAGGCCACACAGGTCTAATGTGGGCGGCGTATAAAGGCTACCCTGCATGTGTGGATATCTACTTGCGCTGGGGTGCCAACGCCAATGCGGTTGATGATGGCGGTCTAACCCCTCTGCATTGGGCCTTAGTCAAGGGATCTCTTCCTTGCGTCCATAAGCTCATAGAATATGGTGCAGATAGGTTCGCGAAAACCAGGGATGGTAAAACGCCAGCGACCGTAGCTAGTGAGATGAATACGACCCGGATATGGTATCGCGCTCTAGACGAATGTGGTTATGACTTCGACGGAAACACCAAAATCCTGCCTATGGGCCTGACGCCCTGGGTGCGGAGTAAGAACGCCTTGTCGAAATTCTTCTTCATGTGGCCTTTTTTTATGATATTTGCAGCTGTCTGGATTCTCAGCAATGTGGTTGTGTTTTTCGCTGTTCCGCTCATGCTGCTTACGGTCTATGGTCTTCAATGGATGGCTCAAAAAGTCGCTAATCAAGGCCCTTCGGAGTATCGAATCCTCCAAAAGACGGTAAGCAAGCATCGATTGTGCCCCAGTCCTTGTCACGTAGTAGCGCTGATGTTGAAATAAGCCTTACCTGTCTGGGGTATTTGCAGGCTCGCTTTTCTGGGTGGGTTTTAGATACGCCTTCTACTTGCTACCTGGTCAGTGATTCTTATCTGCCATTCCCCCATGCCGCCTTGTCAATCTCTAAGGCGGGATCCGCGCATTGAGAGGGGTGAGGGACTATTCGAACTGACCAGCCCACGCTTAGCGACGTTTTCCTCATCACCGATTTCCAACATCTCCTTCACTGTGTTCTTTTCTCTGACGGCATATTTCTATTTCTGTGCAATGACCGAAGATCCAGGTTTCGTTCCGAAGATGAACAGCAGGAATTCACAACGAGCCGTAGTCACCGAACTATTCGAGCAGTGGAAATTTGACGAAGAGAATTTCTGCGTCTCGTGTATGGTTCGAAAGCCTTTACGAAGCAAGCATTGTAAGCGTTGTGGGCGATGCGTCGCAAAGCATGATCAGTGAGGTTCCTGCCACTCGTCAGAAAAGCGTCCACTAACCCCAAGCAGCCATTGTCCATGGATCGACAACTGTGTTGGCGCGAACAATCTGCGGCACTTCGTCTCGTATATCCTTTGCTTAGAAATCGGCATTATCTTGTTCTTGCGCCTGACATTCAATTGTAAGTTGTTCCTGGTCAAACTGAAGGGAAGCGCAAAGCGGCGTGATTCAGCTGACGAAATTCAAGATATCAACGTTCTTCCAGCTCCTGTGAATCCACAGTGCAATGTCATAAATGATGCATTGTGTGATCTTGTACTCCGTGATACATTTACTCTTGTTCTCGATATATGGGTGGTCATCCAGCTGGTCTGGATAACTATGCTCTGTGCCGTTCAGCTTGTCCAAATCTCCCGAAACCAGACGACTTACGAAAACATGAGGGGCCATTCGATTGATCGGAGTTATCCAAGCTCACGAGCATTTGCCTCGGCTGTGACAGCAGGTACGACATCCTTAGATGCAGCCGGCCTCTCTTCGGCCGGTCAAGGTCCCAACCCGGCTCTGGCGCAAAATGTTTCACATAGGCATCAAAGGAATGGCTGCCTGCAACAATGGTCCTCTCTTCTGGGAATCGATACATTCTTTGCAACAGCGCGGGACGGGTTACGGGACAGCCCACGTACCGTCCGGCCAAAGAATCCCTTTTCCCTTGGCATTGTCACTAACTGTCAGGATTTCTGGTGCGACCCTGCTCCCTACTTTGGACGACGGGAGCCAGGTTCTGCCATGCTCGGTGGTGACCTTGTCAATTACAACCGAATGTATGAGGTTCCATTGCGTATGCACAGCGGCGGAGGCTATCGTAGCCTGGCTGACAATGACCTGGAGCAAAATGCTTAACTATCTTGCTTCCTTAACGACTTCAGAGCCGTTGAATCAAGAACCAGACACTATGATAGTCTCATACTGGGGGGGGGGGAGTCCAGGAGAAGCTGCAGATCATCGTCGCACGAATGAACCTCTAATGAATGGAAATTGTTACCTGTTCTCAGTTCGTCACTGTCTTCATGTATTATATTTTGCATATTCGAAATATACTCTAGTAGATAGTCACTGATGGCCTTGGCATATGGGGATTGTAGGATATCTGAGTTCATGACCTGCACTTGCCGTAGTCTGCACATGGAACAGGGGCTATGAGCAACTATGACACATTCTACAGGTTGTCATTCTTACTACTGATTGGAGTAGCACTTTTACTGGTTGACTGTAGTCCCAAGCGGTGACTTTTCCAAAAGACGTAAACAGTAAACACTCCCAGGGCCATGACTGTTTGCGAGCACTGTACCTTGAATCTGCCAAAACTGCGATTGATGGATCTCTTATGATCATATATTCAACAGTGCCATGACGAAGGGTCAAAGCCACAAAGGGGGAGTTAATTTCAGTGCAGGGATGATATATAAAGCTGTAGAGACCTCTCAAAGCCGGATAGGGACCGGGTGTATATATAGTATGCACATGTGGAACCTCAAGCATGCTTTCTTGTAATGTACATAATTCTTCTTTTTTTGCCTGTACAGCAACAAGTCCTGTATTTACAACGTCAATACAGTACGCATCAAGCATACCGCAGTAATATACACAGTAAAAGATCCGATGTCGCAGAAATTCAAAAGCCTACAATCATGCTAAGATCTTATCTCGGCCACCACCGACTACTACTTGTAGATGAGTAGTCTAGGAAGTAGGTACTGAACAAGACAAGTGGAGGTACATACATGCAGGGTACACCACCACTTCCCTCTATTCCATGTAATTGTGTTGGTTGTCTCTCTTTTTCTAGATCTCTACTTCTCTTTTTCTCAAGTGCGTATAGTCACACTTGCTCTCCAAGTGATCAAGAAACAAGTCAATCATGACCATTGCTTCACGTAATTGCCGATTACCAGAGAGTTTTAATTAATAACTAAGTGGAGAATCTGCATGTGGTTGGGTCCTTTCTGTGGTGTAATGTTACAGAGTGGCTGTAGTGAACCTACAATTACACCTGTGCATATCTACTGAGTATGTGGTTTCTATCAGGTAGGTAATAAACATGGAATGACTTTGTGCCTATGTGGGCTGGACCGCTGCGTCTGTACTAATCTGACCAACCCAAGATCAATATTTCCCACTGGTTCAAAGGCGGAGGAGGAGAGGGAGAAAAGAGAGAAGAGGGAAGGAGGGGGGCGGAGGGTGGTGTTAAAAGAGCTACTGATTGATTAGGGTACAGAGACACCTATACTAGTATTTCACGCAGTGTACACTACTCTATAATACAGCTAAACCCTGCGATTTTGACTTCAAGTGAAGAGTGGCGGTTTTGGCCGACGAGCGATACCGCTGATCACGGTCTTCTTGATATAATGATACGGTACAGTACATATCGTACATATATACCTTCTAGGCTTACCAATATACACCAGGAACACGTGGGAATTTTCCACTGATAGACTTCAAGCTAAGCTAGCTCTCTTGCTGTGAAGGGAACATCCATGAATGCCGACATCTTAGTATGGAGACTATGGATCGGTAGGCAAGGGACGGAACCGAGCGTTGGGAACACCTCCGACCGACCCCTCACTTAAGGTATAAGTAGTTAGCTAGACTCAGTACTCAAAGAGATGATTATGCAGCGTAGCACAACGTGCAGTACATAGCGAACAACGACTGGGTCCAGACCGAAGCAGAGTCTGCAGGGTAGCGAGAGGTTCGAGACAAACATGCCCGTATAGCGCTTGACGGCATGATTGCGTGTATATACATGTATCAATACACCCGAGAGAGAATACCAATATCCATATAGTATGCTCGGTACATTATACGGGAGAGGATGGATGGGTCGTCGAAGATAACTAGTACGGTGAGTAGGACCAAAAGCACAACATAAGGAATAATTCGACCAGCGGCACTTGCACCAACATTATTCTCGCCAATTGATCAAGGGTTGCCCAGTTCGATTACTACTACTATGTACGTACAGTAGTACATCGTCACGACGAAGGACACCCCCGGTGGAGACTATTTACTTGCTGTCCTATGGTCTGACTGACTGAGGCGCTATCCGAGCCGGACAGCAGAAAGTACTTTTTCCTTTTAATCCCTCGTCTTTTTGTTAGGGCCTTGGTACTGTGGGCACCGCATGGGCTGGGAGTGGGGCGCCTGGATTTTCATCAACAGTCCATTCTTCCCTCCCGGCCCCCTTCAGAGAGTCGCTGCGCTATGACCGGTCACAAATGGATCAGAATCGGCATTCTGGTTAGCTGTGTACTGAGGCGACTATGATTCTATACAAACTCACTCGTTTTCTTCTTTCTTTTTTTTTTTTTTTTCTTTTTTTTCCTTTTTGAGAAAGGCTCCGAGCAAAGCCATCAGAAGCCAACAACGGGTCAGAAGCACCCGATTGTGAGAGAATGTGTGGGTCTTGGGAACATGGTCTCATCTAATCAATCAGCGGAAATCAGTGAGTGGGCCGTAATGCCCCCTCGCGTATACGGCTAGGTTGCTACTCCCGGGCCGTAGGTATGGTACGTACGTAGTACGAAGGTATTCTGAGCCTTTGTAAAGCAACCTCTTCCGTGTCCCCATCCCGTCAGTGCGAATGAGCTAGTCTCAAAGGAAGGAGAAGCAGTCCTAAACAGTTTAAGAGATGATACTCACCCATCGACTTTGAGAAGCGCCCTTGAAATGCAGGCTCTAGAACATGGGTATCCCTTGCAGGCTTGCACTGTCAGGTCTCAAAATCACCCCGGACCGAACTGTGAGCGAATTACGGTTGTTGCAAGATGGCGCCATCAGATAACAAGAGAAAATTTTTATCTGATCAGATTATCGGGAGGGATCCCGACATTTCCCCTCCCCTCCCCGTTTACCTTGGTAGAGCATGCGCCTCGGATTCCTAATGGCGAGAACAGACGGACGGACAACGGTGATATTAGATAACATAATTCGGAGTCTCTCCCCCTTTCCTCCACCCCTTCCAACCGGAATTGCTTCCCTTTCATGTTACCATTTTCTGCTTTGTGCGCCGTAACTAAATCATTACCTTGGTGTAGCCCATGAACTTGGCCGTTGAAGGCCAATCAGCTCCGGTCGCTTGACGTCAGCGGGGCTGTTCAGTACCAAAGCCGGCCTCAGACCCGTTGTTTTCTTCTTTCTCCCCCCAACAAACCACCCAAGAGCACATAATTTGAACTCCTCTCGGTAACTCGTACGTAGGGCAGCTACATTGTCGCTTCAATCAGAAAGTATTGATTCGAGCAACAATGTTTCTCAATTTCTATGCAACATGCTACGTATCTTGAATTACTCAGTAACAAAGATGAACGTTTATGGTATATTTGACATGAGGAAACAATCATAACCGACCAATATATTGTTTACAGTCAAGGTAAATCTTGAAGCAAGCGTTTCTTTTTCCTGTTCTCACCCGCCCCTCTATTTTTCTCCTCTTCTCTTCCGACCATTCAAGTATTATTCCTAGGCATCAGTAAGTTACGTCGACGAAGCAGACCTGCGGATGCCTCCCTGGGTCAGATTCCTGTATTACAGCATGGCGCGCAATCTGGTGGCCGGCACCGTCGCACCCGCGAGCTGTTCACCAAAAATTGATTCCACCATCTCTCCGCCTCGAGCGGCCAAGACGGACAGAAGACTGTCGCTCAGGCCATGTGTCTTCTCATTGCAGC